GAAAGAAGACAAGGACTGGAATGTATCTCGATGGATACCTGGAAGGTGGCAAAGCAGGGAGAGGAGGATGGTGAAGCAGAAGATGAACCAGAGCAAGGATGCTCAACGGCAAGAGGAACTGAGCACGATGTATAAAATACTACACTGGACAAAGAAGTGAAGAAGAGTGCACGGAAAGACAAAAGATACTTCTACGACAGACACACTGGCAAGTGAAGCAGAACAGGCTGCAGAAGAGACAGAGACCTGACAACATTGTATCAAATAACCAGGTTGCTATTTGGGAAGAGATCAACGCAGACGAAACCAACGAAAGATGATGAAGGAAATTTGATTACGAAGGAAGAGAAACAAAGGAAACTGTGGGCCGATCACTTCAAGAAACTCTTGATTCGACCACCACCTGCACTTCATCCAGATATACCACCTACAGCCCAGCCGCTGAACTACAAGTGAACATAAATCCTCCAACAAAAGCGGAAGTCCTGAACGCCATAAAGCTACTGAAGTGGGGGAATGCAGCAGGACTAGATGGGATCCCGCCAGAAGCACTGAGAGCGGACGCAGAGACAACAGCAGACATGCTCACACCACTATTGCAGAAGGTTTGCAAGGAAGGAAGAGAAGGTACCAACACTAAGCTGCGTATCATTATAGAACAGAGTATGGAATGGCAGTCAACTCTCTGTCTCAACTTTATCGACTCTGAGAAGGCCTTTGACAGTGTCAACAGAGAGGTAATTTGGAAACTGCTTCATTACTACGGAACACCGCAAACCTTTATCAATCTCATTCAACAACTATATGAAGATGCAACATACCAGACAAGTAATTCACAATGGGAGCTCGGTGATGCCTTTCAAGTGAAGACAGGAGTGAAACAAGGTTGCCACCTACTATCACCCATGATATTCCTGATTGTGGTCGACTGGATCATGCAGCAAACAGTGGGGAGCGAGAAGAGGGTGATGAGCTGGCTCGACTGCGGAAAAGAATCTAGAAGATCTGGATTTCGCCAACGATGACTTGTGCCTGATGTCACACAAACTTGAAGATCTGCAGGCGAAAACTAACAAGTTGACAGAAGAGGTGAGGCAGGGCAGTGAAGACGGGACTTCAAGTGAATATAGAGAAGACAGAGGTGATGAAGATACCGCACCAACAACTCCAACAACAACAACAACAAGCTCCAATCACCATGAACGGGAGAAACTTAAAGGAAGTAACCTCCTTCACCTATCTAGGAAGCACTGTTTCAACTACAGGTGGCACAGACGAGGATGTCAAGGTCAGACAGGATCGGGAAAGCAAGGCAGGCGTTCATTAGCCTGAAACCAGTGTGGAGATCTTCAGCACTCAGCATAAAGCGTGAACAAGATCCGGATTTTCAACACTAATGTCAGTCAAGTCAATGCTTCTGTATGGTTCAGAGACTTGGCGCGTTACGAAAGGGATTTTCAATAAACTACAGACATTCATCAACAACTGCTTACGCTGGCTCGCTACTGAAGATAAGATGGATTGTCAGAATAATGAGAATAAGCAACAAGGAGCTCTGGGAACGAACCAACCAAGAACCCATCACCCAACAAATATGCAGGAGGAAGTGGAGATGGATTGTATTGGGCATACACTGAGAAAGCTGACTGGGGACATCACGCGTCAGGCCCTCTAGTGGAATCCTCATGGGAAGCGACGAGTTGGGCGTCCGAGGCGAGGGTGACATGTAGGAGATCATGCGAGGAGGAAATGAGAGCTTGTGGGCAGTCGTGGAGCCAGGTTCAATAGATTTCAGAGGACAGAGTTAGCTGGAGACGTGCTACTGAAGCCCTATGTTCCACTAGGAACCCAAGGGACTAATAATACATGTGACATAAAAATACGAAGACATGTATTGCCTATTTTGTCTACAGGTAACAAACAACACCATGTTGCAGTTTAAGTAGTGGCTAACAGTGAAGCTTAGGACGCACAGTTTGTTCTATTTAGAACTCATCAGCTGAGTGTACCTGCATCCCAGTTTACGGTGGTTTTCTTGCTGAGACTTGAAGATAGCACTCGCAGTTCTAGACGCCAAAGTAATATCCACTAGGCCAAAGAAGCAAGACAGCAACCTCTTATGCATCAAGTATCACTCACTGCGATGCAGGTACATAAAACAGGGTTCCCGAATAAGATGGTGTACTCATCCTGGATTCCACTACTAACCAAAACTAAGTGAACTGTAACATTATGAATATTCAGGTTAAATGGAGACGTTCACAAAGCAATCCGTTTGCCAAAAGAGATCGATGAGCTTGAGCCAAAGTACCATCGGGAAATTACAAGTATCAATAAAAAATAACTGATCCGTTGCATAAAAGGTGGCTCTCATGCATCAGTGACATAAAGGATAATGCTTCTGCAGTGGGGACACCATCACTCACTGGAATGCAGGTACATCCAGCCGATGAATCACAAGCAGAACGAAACGCAAATCCTAGATTACACTGCTACCCACCCTCAAGTATGCTATAGCATAATGCGCCAATATTTAAAGCAATGAGTCTTCTCTATAGGTTTAAACAGCGTAATGAGAAGAAAAAGATTATCTGGTACATCTGATTTATTTGGCCTATACATATCAAACTATTTTGGACACATATGAATTCACTGAATTATTCATACGAAAATTCTCGAAGAACGTCAGTTAAGTCGATAAAAAAACAAAAGAAGCGAGGGCAAAAAAAAAAAATTTAAATCACATTCCTCTTGGTATTAAAGTTAAAATCAGTATTATTAAGATGAGTTCGAAGTGAGTACAAACGGTTTTGTATATACATACAAGATTCAAATTAACGGACAGCTGAAGCTTTCGAATTCAAATACATTCCTCTGGTTACTTTTCTGTAATACTTTGAAGGCTGCTTTCATGTCAACCTTATAACTAGTTCTTAGTATATGTTTGGCAAAAGAAGAAGATGGACTTCTATCTCCTACTCTTATCGGATCAGTTGAGTTGTTTTTTAATTCTCTGTTGTTATAGTGGGAAGAATTCCTCAACTTCTATATATATAATCAACTGGCTATACAAATAAATAAAAGTTTCTCTAACTATCCACCATAAGTTTGGAATGTTGAAAATGTTGTACTTCAGATATCCACTTCTTCATTTCCTTTTACCCACCCACCATTTGTAATAATAATAATAATAATAATAATAATAATAATAACAATAGTTTTATTGTAATCCATACTTGTGGTACAGTATCAGTAAGTAATAGTTCAACAAATCCATACCCTGTACAATATCTTGAAGTGAAATAACCGCTACATTTGAACAGTGTTACTAGTAACAGTAATAAAAATCATAATATGAAGCAGACACCTGTTATTATAATAGCGCCTGGCTTGGACTGGTGAATTAATAGAAAATCGAGAGTTGTGTTTTTATGCGTTTATAAACCCATTTCTTAACGGCGTGTCGTTTGCTCTTTGTCTCATTGTCAGTTGGAAAAATGGTAGTTTAAAACCATTTAAAAAGTGTGCCGAGTACATAACATAGCATATTCAGAATGACTGCAGATAGTCTCCATACTCACATTTAAATAAGTCATATACAGTATGATAATATTGAAGCTACTACTTATTACAATACTGTAATAGTAATGTTTTAAATCAAGTGATGCACAATTTATTTATGCCACTGATAACTTTCAGTTAATAACTAACTGTTATTATTTGATTAAAATTTTTTTAAAATTTCACTAACAGTCAATCTGACAGTAAGAATTTGTCCAGTACACTTAGTCTGTTTTAAAAAGAAGAATAACGTACGGCTACTCACTGCGTACACGCTAACCAATTACTCAACGTCTAAATTGTCAATACTGGGTGATGACTCGGCAGCCAGTGTGAATACATTGAACAGATAGTTAAAGAACACGAATTCACGTGGCAGTCAGGTAAAAAAAATCGTAGTGATTGAAAAGAAGTTAAGATTTTGATAGCAGATGAATCTCCTAGCTCGGTTGGTAGAGCAGCCGATCAGTAACTCAGAGGCCACCGGTTTGGATCCTGCTGCAGCCCTTAGTTTCATTTCATGTTTGATCATCACACAGTACCAGTAATGCAAATCTGTCAAACCCTGTCTGTTTCAGATAGTCAAAGCGATAATCTGAATTATTTTTTAACTATCCCACAGAACATCAGTATGGCACAGTGTTAGGGAACCATAAATGTCGTTGAACAAGTTAGTCATTCATGTCTAAGCTTGACTAATTTTCAATTGGCGATTACATGGAAACTTTTTGGGTACGAAATATATCGCATCTGATCTTCTCTGATGACTTTTTTTATTTGGTGGAAGGTTCATTGATTCACTCAGACCATGGAAATGATTTCATTATATTTTTTCAACGAATTAACTTTCTTTTGACTTGTCGATTTCTACTTACTGGACTGATTGTTCATTTCATACTAATTAGAAAAAATGTGTATTTCTGACATTCATACAGATATATTGAAATCTATTTAGGTTATGTGATAAAAATAAAAATGATGAAGTTCCGTCGAGTCATTTACGTACCAGTGGTATGCATGGTGCAGTCATGAGATGAGACCAAAGGAAATCCTCACAAAGGTACAACGACGATGAACAAAATTTGAACTTTTTCCAGTCAAGCATAAAAACTAACTCCCAACTAAATGCATAACAGGGGAATAGGCACCATACACCTTCAGTAAAGACTGTATCTGAAATAGCAATAGTGCATGAATAACGAACACCGATTAGTATGGCGACATTCTAACCAAGAGGTGCACCATACAGGATTTACAAGGCGATAACCAATCACCGATTAAAAATCGAGCAGTAGGGCGGATTTTTGGCATGATTTCTAAGGCTAACCAAAGGAAATTTATAAAAACACTGCCATCTGTTCTTTTTGGGCGATGGGTACCACACGCTGCCTTCTAAATAATTTGATTTAAGCGTTGACTAGGACTTCTCTTCTCTTGCATTAACTGGAATCCAAAAGCCTTAAAGAAATTACCGGATTTAGCTTTGGCGCCAAACGTTTATTTGTATTATGATACAATCCTAAACGTTTTGAAGCAGATCCAAACATTTCACCTTCACTAAGTAAGACAGGAAGAGTAACTAAAGCACAGATTTAGCGGCTATAGAATAAATTACTGTGGTTTTAATGCTGTCTATTTTGTGACATAGAAAGTTCTTGAATTACTAGTTACGTTTTACCCTGGAAGACATCTCTGACTTCGCTTTCAACACAAAATACTTTCAGTTACCCGATACGATTTCACAAGTTAAAGCTGATCAGAAAAACAAAATACTCTTTTCACATCTAAAACCGCTTCTTCAGAACAATAAAAAGAATCGTGTATTTGATTCATTGAGAATTGAGAGTTGATTTTCTGTTTGTTAAAATGTCTATGACCTCTTTTAAGTTAAAATAAGCGGATGTTTCAAAAACTACCAACTGAATTAAAAATATTCTAAATCGATATATCAAATCATGAAATTCATATATTCCGATTTTTCTTCTAAACAAGATACGAGAACTTCGCTAGTAAACCGTAAACATGAGATCACCTAGAATTTGACTGTGCTCAGAGGTTTTAATGTTTGATGTTATTTCATATGAAAAGAGTAAGGCAACTTTGATACCTTCTGTAAGAAATGCCTCCGATAAACTAATTATCAGAGAAACAAACAATTTTAGAATTTATGCTGGGCAATGACTGAAGGTAAAATGAAAATTTGGACCGCGACCGGATTTGAACCAGCGACCACCAGGTTACCGGCCCTATGCTCTGCCAACTGAGCTACGAGGTCCTACTGCTAATTCGATGGCGACCGGTGCTAACCCAGTAGTCGCTGGTTTGAATCCGGTAGTGGTCCAAACTTTCATTTCATCTTCAATCACCATCCAATATAAATACTAGTCTACCAAACTACAGCCATCACAATCAAATGATAATTTTATAATTCAGAAGTAATATATTTACACAGCTTATTCTCTTGACACTGAATAGGGACTAAGGAAACCAGTAAACGAATAATTTCAAGCATTATTAGCCTCAGGGCGTAAAGGTGCAGTTTTAACCATTATATCCCTGTTTTTTATTCTATGTTTTGCAGATTAGCAATATCTTCGAATTTGAGTGAAAATAACATCAAGACTCCCATTTACCTACCGATCTGTTTTTTCAGAATCTCTTATGTTTTTGGCAAGAAAAATAGAAGACCAGATGACCATTGTCAACCCTTGCGGTTTTAAAAGTCTTCTTTAACATCTACTTTCGTATTCTCGTTCACTGGTTTGCATGCAATCGCCGCCATTCAGTTCATACGATTTGGATTACACAAGGACTATTTTTTGCATTGTGTCAAAATACTTACTGGACAACTCATTACAGCCTTTCTGTTCACCATCTTTCTCCGAACTAAGAAGTACAGAATTAAGAGGATGAAATGCACTCATTTTAATTACAGACTTCATCTTAGCTACAAAAAACAAAAAATATGCGTAGAGCTTATGCTGGAACGAATAAGCATACTTTTATTATGCCAAAATGCTTGAATGTATACGAGGGAAGCAAGACGGAAGAAGGAAAAACAAATAAATACTGAAGAATTGCCCTATGTAACGATCCTGAACGGAACCCGATGACTGTGTTTCAAAACCACAGTTGTCTGTCAAACTACCTACAGCTTTTTACTTACTGATGGTATTTATTTCTCACTGATTACTATAGTAAAGCGAATTAACCATTTTCTCTTGAAGTATAAGTTCCTGAAACAGATGCCCGGAAATTACAGTAAGTTTCATTTTGACGTCATCTACTTGTTGGTATCAAGCAGAAAAATCTAGAACCCACTATTTCAGTACCTGATGATTTACTGACCTGAGACAGTGGAGACGATGTGTAGCTCCGAATGATGAAATGTAAGGTGTTTTTTGGCTTCATCATCAGTTACCTTATGCAGAAGTGGAGCAATTTAAGTTGCGTGAAGGATATTTGCTGACCTTGAGCCATATTAGACTGCCAGTAAGGGCGAATTTACCTTCCTACTTAATTGTTGTTGCCGTTTTACTTATGCTTTTGACCTCATCTCTGAATGTTCATTTGCATTTTTGGTTTTAAACAGGTTCATTTTTTCCTGGCAGTCCTTATACTTGGTCATTATTCACATATCTGTTGGTTATAGTGTGATTAATATCATGCTTCCTGAAATTCTCTCGCCGTTAATAGCTTGGAGTTCGCAACATTTCTACGTCGTCCCGGAAAAGGAGGTGTTGTGCTCATCAGCAAATTTTGATAGCAATGATAAATTTCGATTCGTCTGTTTGCAAATTCATTATCATTTGTCCCTTAGGTTCCGAGTGGAAAATAGGGCTTCAGTAGCACGCCTCCATTTGAAATAGTGAAGAATATTTGTAGCTCATGTGGATGGTCTTGCTTGTATTGTGTCTAACCCAGCCCAGAGAACACAATACAAGCAAAACGCCTCCATTTCACTCTCTTCTCTCCAGTCCTTTGGAACTGGCTCCACCAATGCAAACAACTTATCATTTCTTCCCCACACCATCTCCTCCTCTCACCATGGACGCCAAACTCGCGTTTCCCATTTGGATTTCACAAGAAGCACTGGCTTGGCTTGTGATGTCCCAAATCAGGCTTCGCAGTGTCTCTCCAATCCAATCAATCTCCACCTTCTTCTGCACATTTGTAAGACTCTCGGTTCTTGGTTGATTCGTTGCCAGCCAGCCAGCCAGCCAGCCAGCCAGCCAGCCAGCCAGCCAGCCAGCCAGCCAGCCAGCCAGCCAGCCAGCCAGCCAGCCAGCCAGCCAGCCAGCCAGCCAGCCAGCCAGCCAGCCAGCCAGCCAGCCAGCCAGCCAGCCAGCCAGCCAGCCAGCAAGCCAGCCAGACAGCCAGACAGCCAGACAGCCAGACAGCCAGACAGCCAGACAGCCAGACAGCCAGACAGCCAGCCAGACAGCCAGACAGCCAGACAGCCAGCCAGACAGCCAGACAGCCGGACAGCCAGACAGCCAGACAGCCAGACACCCAGACACCCAGACACCCAGACACCCAGACACCCAGACAGCCAGACAGCCAGCCAACCAGTCTGTTCCAGTCGTATTTTCAATCCAGAGCATTTTCGTTCTAGTCTCTCCATGATGATGCTGCACAATATTTTGCTTGCTATGGGTGGACAGCAGCATGATTCCGCACCAGTTCCTGTTTTTGCGAAACGTAGGTCGCCCTTGTTTGAGAGCTTGACAAGGGGTAGCCCTCCTTCCAATTGTCGTCAGGTATCTGTCCTTCCTTCCTTCCTTCCTTCCTTCCTTCCTTCCTTCCTTCCTTCCAAACGTTCTTCAGTGGTGATGTGAGCATGTCTACTGTTGTCTCTGCGTGTGTTTTCAGTGCTTCTGGAGGAATTCTATCTGGTCCCGCTGCTTTCCTGAATTTCAGCGACTTTATGGCGTGGCGTTCAGGACTTCACTTCTGCTCTTGACGGTGGGCTTGTGTTTACTGGTAATTCTGTGGCTGGGCTGGTGGTGGTATTTGTGTACGAGTTGCAATTGGTGGTGGTGGTGATGGTGGTTGATTCAGGAGTTTGTTGAAGTGGTCAGATCATCGCTTCCTTTCTTTCTCCTCCTTCGTAACTACATTTCCTTCACCACCTCTCATTGGTTTCGTCTGCATTGATCTCTTCCCTCCCAGATAGTAACCTCGTTACTTGATACCATTTCGTCAAGTGTCTGTCTCTCCTACTTGCTGCCTGTTCTGCTTCACTTGCCAATGTGTCGTAGAAGTGTCTTTAGTCTTTGTGTGCACTTCCCTTCACTTCTTTGTCCAGTGTAGTGTTTTATGTGTTGTGTTCAGTTTCTCTTTTCGTTGTTCATCCGTGTACTACACTGCAATGCACTGGTTCATCTTCTGCTTCACCATCTTCCTCTTCCTCGTTTATCAGCTTCTATGTGTCCGTCAAGATCCATTACTTGTCTCGTCTTCTTTCTTCCTCCTTCCTAACACGGTTATGCAGATTTATGTCCACATAGCTTTCAAGGAGTCCTGGTGTTCTCCCACGACCGATCGTTCAGGGATTTTCCTCAATATCTCCCATTATGTCCTGCTAAGTGTCTGACGTGAAGATGTCCCGTGGAGTTTCTTCCTTCAGTTTCGGTTCTGGGTGTTCAATTTGAACTGTGGTCTATCAAGACCAGCTTCTTTGAAGGCTGTTGACTTGTTTTTGAAGGTGGGTTCCTTGCACTGGATAGTGAGTGAGTGAGTGAGTGAGTGAGTGTTGTGAACCTACATCTGCTCCTCTTCGTGATCTGATCTTATATCCAGTTGGCTACGTCTCCATCTCCACTTTCTTCACATTGAGATGAAGTCGGTCTGATTTTTAGTGTGGTGTTTCCTGGTGTCTGGTGAAATCAAATCCATGCCGCTCACTTTGTGGATATCCTTGTGCTTGAACACAGTGCCTCGCCTCCAATCACCAAATTATTGATTGTGTAGAAATCTGCAAACAGTTCTCCATTCTCGTTCATTTCACAAACGAGTGCTTCTCTACCCATGGTTAGTTCCCTCCCTGTGTTGTCCCCTCCCAGTTTGGCATTCATGTCACCCCACCCATTAGAATGAATTTTGATGTCTCCAACTGGGCTATGTATGGTCTTGTTCAGTGCTGATTGCAGTTGTCTGTAGAATTTCTCCTTCTCTCTTGATCTGCATTATTTGTAGGTGGGTAGTGTGGCATTGTACGATTGTGGCTTGCCTTCCTCTTGATTAGAATCTTGTTGTCATCATCCTGATCGTGGAGGAGATTGGTCCTCACTGCATGGGAGAGAGTCTTCGATGCTCTTCAAGGGGACATCTTGATAGCCACTGGGAAACTCAGTGTGTTCGTGGTTGTCTTCTGGGTGTCGATACTGGATTAGATTATTGACTCTCCAGTTGACAGTTTGGAGAGTCCACATCCATTCCATCCACTCTCACAGATTCCCAGCCTTGCACTTCTTACTATGCCATACCATCTCATCTCTTTCGCAGTCTGGATAGCCTTGCTAGGTTCATACATGGTGCGGACATTCCGTGTCCACATCCTTACTTTCGCTTTCATCGAGAGAGAGAGAGAGAGAGAGAGAGAGAGAGAGAGAGAGAGGACGCATCGGCCAATTGGCTTCCCGAAAGGATGCTTTCACCAACTGGCGTCATTTTGTCTCTCCGATTCCAGGGAGGGGTGAGTTTATTTTTATTTTTTGTATTTTCTTTGTGTTTTAGAGTTTCTTTATCGGTTTGATTGGTTTTCCGGGTAAGGTTACTAGCCGTTGGCCCAATCTTCCTTTTTTGTCTGGCCGGGCTTTGGACCACCTAGTAACTAGTGAGCTGGTTATCCAGGCGATGTTTTTATTACCGAACTAGATATCATTTAAATCACTACATTAGATCTGCTTTGAAGGATTAGAATTATTTTTTTAACAGCACGTATGTGTTTGTATACGATAAGTTACAAATTGCGTTATTATCAAATACAGCCTTTTTGAAATTGCAAAATCTTCGGAAGTGGTCGACAAGTGACTCATGAACCTAGTCAGTTGTCTGCTAACCACGCAGACAGTGAGGAATGAAATGCCTGGATGTGGCCATTTGACTTTAGTGGGTTTGGCTTGATATCGGCTGAATAATGAATGCGAGATAGGGCTGAACTTTGATGGATATTCCAGGCCTGAAACACGCTGCAATCTGTTAATGATGTAAGAGTGAAGAACTGGGACTTTGGTGCTTTTTCCGTTGGCAGGATTGCATGATTCGTTGTGTGCACCTTTTTCATGCGCGTATTTAGTATCTGACCGACTGTTCAGCAACAATCAGCTAATTAGGAAACTTAAAAGGCTTGTAAAACCTCAATAACAACTTCCGTTGACTGGATTCTCCCTTGAAAACTAAATGGCACTAATTAACTTAACGCACCTGGGATTTGCATCGGTTAAAGTGAACGGGTAATAATAACCTATTGATTTTGCATATTACATTATTTGAGTCTATTTAGTGACTTGAGAGTAACTGATAAGATGATCGAAGTCATTTGTAAGGCTTTTCTGTCATTCAAATGTCATACAGCGTACACCTGAACAATAAATTTTGCACATAAAGGAACATAGTAACTAACTGCAAGGAAACTTATTGAAAGGAATTTTCTTCTTTGAGGGATCATTTTCATCAGCTACATAATTATATTTATAATGACAACAAAGAAATAAGTTTATTATTGGACAATAAGTTGGCATTCGTTCATCAGAAAACTAATGCCCTAGAATTAAAAGGAGGAGACTTAACAATGGATTTCACATGAAGGAGCACGCAGCTAATCAAGATGAAGGCATTTGAAAGTGTAAAATCGTAAGAAAATATTACACTGTTTCAGTAAGGAATTGAAAACAATAACCATAGATGAAGGATAGTAATTTATGAAGTAAAAGGGCAA